AGCAGGGAGCCCGACGTGGGACTCGATCCCGGGACTCCAGGATCATGACCTGAGCCGAAGGCAGTCGCTTAACCAAGTGAGCCACCCAGGCGCCCGGAAAACCTTTTCTTAAGGCTGCCGTATCGTCATACCAGGAGAAAAGCTGTGGCTCACTATTTCACGGGAAGCCTTTGGATTAATTGTGAGCTGGAAATTACAGCTGCTCTTATTTACACACCTAGCAAAATGTCATATTGAATTACCTTGCATATTCTGCCTTTTGCAAGCATCTTGTAGAAATTTTAGAATTGGCTGAAAGAATCGCTGTCTTCCATACGGAAGCAACTTAAATGATCAGCTAGAAAAAATCTTGTGACTGTCCCAGCAGAAAAAGCTGTGAAAACCATGAACTGGCAGTCCACATAAAAATAGCTAATTCGCATAGTATATTTAAAACTGTGGTTCTCAGCTGGGAGTGATTTTGTGCCCCTCACTGTGGGACATTCGGAAGTGTCTGGAAACATTTTTGGTTATCATAGCTGGAGAAATACATCTGGCATCTAGTGGGTGGAGGCCAGGGATGCTGCTCAGCATCCTACAATGCACAAGACAGTCCCCTATGACAGTTATTTGTCCCAAAGTATCAGTAGTGCTGAGGTTGAGAAACCCTGATTTAAAGTAAATACAAGTCATGAGATACAGGGGGTTTTTTTTGCCTGTCAAGTTAGCATTGACCTTTTAAAAACAGTGATATTCAGTGCTAGCAAAGATGTTTTGAATGGGTACTTTTCTGGAGGAAGTGTTTGAGCAGGTCTGGCAGTATGTGTCAGAGGTCTTAAAAATGTTCTAGACTTGGGGGTGTTGGGGTTCCCTGAGAACCACCCAGGAAGCAAATTTGAAACATATACACCTGGGCCACATCCCCAGAGGTTCTGGGAGTGGGTCTGGGGGGAACTGAGAAATGGTGCCCCGTTTCCAAGCCTATAATCAGGAATGCAGGGGAGACTCTGTACAAGGATGCTGATGACAACCAGAGGGGAAACAGCCCACTTGTACCCACCCGGGGAATGGTGAAATAAATTATGGTCACTCGTGGGCTAGAGTGATACTCAGCCCTCCAAAAAGAGTTTCTAAAGGAGTTTTTAATGATGTGCTAACATGATGACTGATGTGATAACATGATAAGCTCATGTTATATAAGTAAAAGTGGGCAGAAAACTGTTAAGTATAATCTCAGAGAGGTGAAAAGCCCAAACCAAACGGTACGTACACGTACATATTATGTGCTGCGGGGCGAGGGCTGAAAGGAAATGAACTGGGGTGCTAACTGTGCGCACCCTAGGATTGCTCGAAGATTGTTGAATTTTGCTTTTCTTTTTTATGTTTTTCCTTTTTTTGGTCACACATTTTGCCATAGGCCTACATGATTTTTGTAATGACGAAATACAAGAAACACTTTTAAAAATTGCATTCCTTGATATTCATTTGTTTTATTGTTTTCAGGTAGTTCACAATAAAAATATCACCAAAACCCAGAAGGTGCGTTTCTTTACCGGGCAGTTACTGAACCACATAGCAGCTCTCTACAGCTGGAATGGGATTGTTGATGTGAGCCTGGAAAATGTCAAGGTACAGTCCTGTTGGGTTTGAGTTGACCTCACTGTTAGCGTGTGGTCCTCACAGCTGGAGGCTGAGGAATCTACTTGCCTTAAAAAAAAAAAAAGTTCCCCCCATTTGATCTGTTTCTCTTGGCTTGTGGTTCTATTAATTCTCAGCTTAGATGAAATATGATCTTCCAAATTTTATTTCTTTACAAGGTTTTTTTCCTAATCTCTGAGGTATTATGATATTAGACTTTTTTTCTTAGAGAAAACTCTTACTCCCTTTAGCTGAGTGACATGCTGGTTCTCCCAGTGGGGCTTGCCCAGTAGATGTATGGTGTTGATCTAGGCTCTTTTCCTCCTCTCATTGACCTCCTCTTTTCCTTCATTCCGTTCTTTCCATACCAGTTTTTGGGATTTCAGGGCCTGTTGGTTTCACTTCAGGATCCCAAGTGTCTAGGAAAACCCCAATTTCCTCACCTCCTGACATGTGTAATTTATTCTGTAATAGTTCCTCAAGTGTTGAATTAGACCGGTTGCTCTCGAGTTGACCCAAGGCCAGTGTACCTTTTAATCCTCCTCATTTTGATTTTCCTCAGGGTGTTTCTGAACATGGACTTGGCCAGAGTAGTGAAGGCTCAGACTTCCTGTGAACTTTATAGTAATTTACCTCTCAAGAGCCCTGTGTTTTACCTCCTTTTATCTCTGTGACTTGCCTCTGTCCTCTTGTTTTGAACATGTTTTGTAAGCTCTATTACCAGGGAGCCTCGGAGGCTTAATAAAAACACTCCCAAATGTGGAATTTTATTCAAAAGAGCACAAGAAATTAAGTCATTCTTAAGCTTGTTTAAAAATACAAGTTTAAACTTGCCCCTCTTAAGAGTATTTTTTAATCTTTTTTTTTTTTTTTTTAATGGTTCTACTTTATAGGTGAGGACATTCAAATTCAGAGAGTTAGGTAATGCCCTCATCACTGGTTATGTTCTGGTGTCCAGCCAGAAGCTGTCCGGGAGCCCATTAAGAGTTGCGTCATTAGAATAAAAACTGCTCCTGTCACCTAGGACATTCCAGGGGATTTTGGAGCCCTGTGTGAATATTGATCTCATCCCTGTCATTCAGGAAAGTACAGGGGTTTTAGCAGATCTCTGCCAGGAACCGGGGGTACAGACCAAATTCATTTGACCCCTGAATTAGGCAGGGCTAGGGGCGCCAACCCCCGTGCAGTCAAAAATCCGTGTACAGCTTCTGACTCCCCCCAAAAACTTAACTACTAATAGCCTAGTGTTGACTGACAGACTTACCCATAACATAAACAGTCGATTCACCCATATTTTGAATGTTAGCTGTATTATATCCTGTCTGGTTATGATAGAGTAAGCTGGAGAAAAGTAAATGTTATTAAGGAAATCATAAGAGAAAATACACTTACAGGACCGTGCTATTGCTAACAGTCCACAGAAGCAGAACTGTGCAGTTCAAACCTGTGTTGTTCAGAGGTCAACTGTATTTATTTCTTATTCATTAACAGTATCACAGCGCAAAAGCAAAGGGAAGCTTAAAAAAAATGATTTTGTAACTGAAATATAGGCTGTAAAGAGAGTCTCTTTAATAATGGGGTTGCCGATACTGGCCTGCTCTGCACTCACTAACCCACTGGGGACCTCAGCTGTGCCATCCACAGTTTGCTCTTACGTGCAATGGGGCAATCATTTCTGTCCTGCCAGATGCACAGGGCGGCTGTAAAGATGGAATGAGAACCCTCATTGCCAAGTGCTTGGAAACAATAAGAAATGACATAAAATGTCCAGTTATCTGTAATTTCTTGTTCCAGCAACTCTCGGTCTGTTCAGCGTTAAAAAGAAATATTTTCTTTTTTAATTCAGTTTATTTAAACTAAAACAAAAACAGTTCATCCATTTCTTTCATCACCACCCCCCACCCCTACCTCTGGCAACCACCAGTCTGTTCTCTGTATCTATGAGCTTGTTTGTTGTTTTAATTTGTTGTTTATCTAATTTATTATGTCTTTATTTAGAGTCCATGTATAAGAGAGTATTTTTTTTTATCTTGATTGGTGTTTCTATTCTTTGTTTTTTTGAATGATAGATACCAAGTGTTTCAAATGTTCTCTAAGTCGTCATTGGGTGCGTGGTATTGTCCAGTTTTTACTCTGTAGTTGTTACTGAGGCTTACGAACTTGAGATTTTCGTTGAATTTCTAAAAACCCTCGTAGGCTTCTGAGGATGCGGGGAAAACCATGGTGAGGGAGCTTGTTCACACCTTCCTGATGGATCTGTGCTGTTCGCTCAAGCACGGGATTAATTTTTATGACGCATCTCTCGGCACCCTCGGCAGGTAAGGCAGCGCCCTCGTGAACCCCACGCGGGTTCCTCAGCAGTCGTCCCGTACGTACGTGACTTCCCGGGGAAATCTGTGGAATAATGGAATTTTATTTTAGACATTACCTACCTCATCTTAGGGATGAACATTTGTTGACCCAAAGAGCGGCTGCTCATTACGAGTCCTCGGGGCAAAGGGCTCAGGCAGCAGTGGACTTAGACACCCAGTAGGAGATGTCTCACCCAGCGAGGTGCCACGGTTTCCCTCGAGACTGTGACCGTTGGCGGGGTCTGAGGATAAGTCGTACATCCGCCTTCCCAGAGAGGGTGGGCCCCTTCGCGGGCCTCCACGCAGTCCTGAGGTGGGAGCCAGTGTTATCCTGGTTTAGTGGCTGAGGGTGATGGGCACAGAGAGGTCGGGTCTCTCAGCCTATGAGTGGCAGAGTGGCAGAGTTCAGATTTAAACCCAGGGAATCCTCGTAACAGTGAAATAGTTCTTCTTCTCCTCAAAGACAGCTGCTAATGAGCTAGATTTTCACAATTTGGTTTTTTACAATTTGTTTCATGTTTTTACATTTTGTTTATGGGGACATTTCATCAGTGCAGAAACGAAGTCCACAGCTGATGATTTAGATTATGTTCTTTTAGACTTTCTCTTTTGGTGTAACTATAATACACATCCATGTTACTAGTTTTTAATAACCAAAATAGCCTACTGTTGGATTTATCAACCTGCTTTTTTGTCCCCGTTGCTAGTAAAAATGTTAGGTATATTTTCTGGTCATTGTGAGTAGCCTTATATATATATATATTTTAATTTCTGATTATTTTATTATAAAGATATAGATGGTTTGATTTAGTTTCACCCAGGTAGGAGATGACTGATCCCTTCACGATAGGATAATATGGTGGAAATTTTTCTCTCTCCTTGTGATTTGTTTTGATTCTGAGGTTATTATGAATTAACTTGCCACATCATTTTTTTCTTTTAACTTTGTTTTGGGATAGTGTAGTTTTTCTCTTATCAGCAAAAATCAGCTCACTTGCCTGCTAAAAGTAACAGCAGACTTTTATAGTCTAATATAACGCCATGCCTAAAACACATGTGTTTTTCCCCTTAAGTAAGACCCATAAAATAGATCATCATTTGATGAGCATGTTTGAATCAACTTGTGGGTGTAGGTCTGTTCAAATAAGCTGTGGTTTATGTCAGTTTTTTGAAGCCAGGGGCAAAAGCAAATGTTTGCCCTTAGGGGAGAGGAAGGGAATTTTGTCTGTGGGGACGTGGATGGAAAGCTTTGAGAAAATTAAAGTGTGTGGTTCCCCAGTAGTTGTAAGGCTCGCGTCCTCAGTCCATTCAGGGCTCCCTGCATGTGTCACCACATCCGAGAGGCCTTCCCTGGCAGCCCTTTGCTGAAATAGCCCTTCCACTGTCACTGTCCCCCTTGCCTGGCTCTTGCTTTTGACTGTGACTTATCACCACCTCGCACATTTATTTATTTGCTTGTTCATCACCTGAGAGACGAGAATCAATGAGAACAGAGGACAGTGCCTGGCACGTAGCAGGTGTTTGAAAGTGAGGCATTCTAGTGTAGGCGGGACTTGGTAAACTCCAAGGGACAGGTAGTATTTAGGCTTGGTGTGTCATAGAGTCTGTTTCGTGACCGCTCAACTGTGCCACGGACATAAACGAATGGGTGTGACTGTGTTCCAATAAAGCTTTATTTATAAAGACAGAGGGTGGGCCATAGTTTACCAACCCCTGGTGTGGAGGTTAAGAGAACAGATTCTGGAGTCAGCTCTGAGACCTCGACAAGTACTTCTCTCTGCCTCTCTTGCCTCATCTGTAAAATGGAAACAAAATTGGTACCCACCCCGGAGGGAGGTCGAGTGTGCTAACTGCCTAGAGTAGTGGCCGGCACACATTGCATACTGTGTATGAAGAAATGTCATTCATTTTATTACACTGTTGACTGAAATAATGTGGATGTGCGTGGTATTTGTAGTGCACTTTGTAGATTTAGCATTGTGTTCATTTGATGGCGCAAACTATTTTGCTCATGAAATTTTCATATTAAGAATTTTAAGCCTTTTTTTTTTTTAAGATTTTATTTATTTGAGAGTGAGAGAGAACACATGCGAGCATGGGGGGTTGGGCAGAGGGAGAGAGAGAAGCAGACTCCCTGCTGAGCAGGACCCTGGGATCATGACCTGAGCCGAAGGCAGACGCTTAATGACTGAGCCACCCAGGCACCCCCCAAATTTTAAGCTTTTTAGATTTCTGATCAAAATTATACTCATTCAGTTTTTGAAAAAAATTTTATTATATGTAAAGCTGCATACTGCATCTTAGTTTTGGTCAATTTACAAGGGGGTACAGAACAGTGAGGATCCCAGAAGCTATCAACGTGGTATGCTTGTGGTAAATTCTCAGATTTTCTGGATCAGGGACAGGCAGATATGAAAAGTCATCCTTCCTTAGAAGGATCTGGGGGTAAACACGGAGTCCTACGGGTTTGCCTATATAGATCCTGGGCTAGATGCTTCTTATCTGCAAGTTTTAATGTCCACAGGTTCTCCTGATTGTTCTTTTTATGATTTTATCCTTTTGAAAGCTGCCCACTTTGGGACAAGTTTTTAATATTTTCATACAGTAATTTTTTTTTCCCTATATTAGCTTCTTGCAGTTAGAAGTTTGAAATAAATAGAATAAGTGGCAAGACTTTGTGCCATTTTGTTGCGTTTTAGAAATAATTTTGTGGCACTGTGGACTGTGGGGCAGTTCAGGAGCAGTTCATGTAAAAAAATCTTTTTAAAAGAAAAACCCATCCTCTGTAGTTTTTATACTTAATGCTCACATATATATATTTATTTACATACTTGCTTTTCATGTGCAGTTGGAGGAAAGAGGTCAGTAAAATCTCATGGGGAAATTCTGGGAGTGGATTCCTCCTTGCGGGTTTGGCCCTTTCTTTACATTAGCCTTGACTCCTGGGCAGACTGGTAGGTGGATGGGGTAGAGACAGAGTGGGTTTCTTCCTCCTCCTGAATGTCAAATGGAACTCAAGGGAGGGAAGGAGAGATGGAGAACAGGTCAAAGTAGAGACTTTTTGAGCCGCTTAGAAATAGAGGAGTGAAATTCAAGCCCTTTGTTGGAGAGCGAGAGCCCCACAGACCATGAAAACACCCCACTTTGTGTTACAGGGGAGAGCCACAGGTGCAATTTGCCGGTCACTTTTCTTTTCAACTGTGTTTACTGAGGGCGGTGTCGAGGAGCTGCATTATTACCCCGAGCTCTCAGCGCATTGTGAAAATTCCCTGCAGACCCTTCTCTCCTCTCTTTCTCTGACAGAGGCGGGAATCTGACCCTCCTGCACTTCCTGTTGGGTTTGAAGACTGCTGCAGACGATGAGCTGGTGGCCGAGCTCGTGGTGAACATCCTCAAAGTGTGCCCGGACTTACTGAACAAATACTTCAAGGAAGTCACATTTTCCTTTCTTCCAAGAGTGAAGTCCACTTGGTCAAATAACATCAAACTGCTGAACAAGGTAACACCCTGGCTGTTCTGGAATGTGTTAGGGGGTGGGCAGAGTGTCAGGAGCTGTGGGATGGCAGCTAGGGAGGGAGAGTGACGTGCCCATGAACTTCAGGATGGAGAGAACTCCTTCAGCCATTCTTCAGGGGGTAATTTAGATCATGTCACATTGGTGTCCTGATCCTCTGAGGACATTCTGCTTTTCACTGAGCTGAATTTAGAGGTAGATGTCTTTTGAATCTGTTAAGCCGAATTCATTTCCTTCATCCAGATTTTGCTTAGAGTGAGATCTTAATGAATTTTAGCACATTTAGGCTGGAATTAGTGAGATGTCTGAAATGTAGGATAGTTTCTAAAGACTACTGTTTTAAGTACTTAGAACAACTTGAAATAAGCTATGAAACAATGGTTTGTCTAGGTGGCTATGTATTAATGTCCTTTTTTTTTTTTTTTAAGATTTATTTATTTGAGAGAGAAAAAGTAAGAGTGAGCAGGGGGAGGGGCAGAAGGAGAGAAAAATCTCAAGCCAACTCCCAGCTGAGCGAGGAGCCCAGTACTACAGGGATCAATCCCACAACCTGAGATCATGCCCTGAGCCGAAACCAAGAGTCGGCCACTTAACTAGCCGAGCCACCCAGGCTCCCCTGTTAATGTCCTTCTGGTCACAGACGTCAGCCTCCCTGCATCCACCATAGCGGACGTAGCTACCGTACATTCTTTGGCAGTACTGCCTGGCTCAGTTAAGGTCTGATTTTTGGCCTGCTTAATGGTGAAACATCTAGGATTGTTTTCTTGTGCCCTGTCTGGGCATGGGGTTATCTATAAAACAAGGTTTTTTTCAAGTCTTCTCTCATTTTCCTCAGGTGTGTGTATCTGTAGTCCCCACGTGTATCTTAGGATGAGAGGGAGGCATTTTGCCCCTCATTTGGGGGAAGGTAGCCTGTGGCCACCACCCTTTTGGGGAGGTGCTCTGGTGCTGCTCTTCCCAGGGAAGGGCAGCGGGCAAGTTCATGGCCTTTGCAGGCCTGGGTGCGAGTCCTTGCTTCACTGCTTTCTAGCTGTGCGCCCCTGGGGAAATTACTTAACCTTATTGAGGTCCAATTTTGTCATCCATGAATGTTTTTTATTTTAATGTAAAATATCCCTACCCCAAAGGGTTGTCATGAAGTATTAAAAGATGACATAATTTGTCACGTGTCTGTCAAGTGCAGTAACTGGTGAGTAATACAGTTGTTAGCTCCAGCAGTGACTTATTTGTCATCAGAGGTTTTAAGGGGCTCCCCAGGCTGCCACGCTGTGCTCTGCTTTGAAGGGCATTGCCCTGGTAACAAACAGTCTCATGACCTGACTTTTCTCTAACAAGTAGATTTAGGGGTTCATCTTCCGGACCCTGTTCCTTGGCAGGCCTTGGACCTTTATCACTCTAATCCTTTCATTGGAACCGCTTCACTGTGGGGTGCCTACAGTTAGCCTCAGGTTTGAAACGTAACCTGCACTAGCTCATTCTCTGTTCTCTTTTTTCATAGATCTATGAGGCCCAGCCGGACATTTCCCGGGCTTTTCAGACCAGAGAGTTCATCCCCTTGCCTCGGCTCCTGGCAATGGTGATGGTGACCACTGTGCCCCTGGTGTGCAATAAGATCATGTTCACCCAGGCATTAAATGTAAGTGGTCGCCTTTCTTCTAGAACTTTCTCCTGTTCACTGCATTGGCCTTTCTGGGGATCATTCTGAGAATGCCTACCTGGATATATTGGATGGTGTTTTGTCAGTGAGCCTCAGGCTTTCCGTGTCCACTTACCTGGGCAAGGGACCCTGAGCCTGAGGAACATTCCAGCCAGAGGATGCAGCTGCTGATTTTATTGCTCCAGCACGGAGCCAGGACCACAGCCTCCTGCATGGCTCTCTGCACCTGCCCGAGGGTGGGAGCCTGTTGGACCCAGACACAGGGCAGTGTGTTCAGCTATAGCCCAGTGTCATGTATAAAGCTATCAGTTGAGGATTTGTGGATGGGGTAGGACTGAAATTTGCCTGGCAAATCCTGTCTTTTGTGGTATAAGTGAATACTGTTAAAATTTCTGGGGAACGTTTACTTTGGGGATTAGCTATTTCAGGCCTTTTGAGAGGACATGTTCATGGAAAAAATTGGACACATTCACAGAAAGATTAAATTTCCTATCATTATACATTATAAAGGTCCCCGAGTCCCTGCAGGAGCCACATTCTGAGGGATGCATGCATCTTTCAGCACAGCTCCGTGGCATGGCCTTAAGTGAACAGCTGCAAGCTGTTGGCACACGTGGGTCCTGGGCTCTCCCAGGCCCTCATGTTCCCGGGTTGCCTCAAGACTTAGCTGGGGGAGGCCGGGTGTCTGTGGGGCAGGAGGAGTCCCCACCCGTCAGGCAGGCCGGGTTGTCGTGTGGACACGGCAGAACTGGGGTCTGTCGTGGTGGGTCACACGGACTCGAGGTGGCCCCAGCGGTGATGGGCAGTCGGCGCAGAGCAGCGAGGACCCCCTGGTGGTGCAGTGGGGTTCAGCATTTCTGATGCCTGTCTCCAGGGTTTGTGCTGAGAGTGGGCAGCGGGCGAGGAACAGGGAGGAGGCCGGCGTGGGCCTGGACAGAAAGGCCTTTTGTTCTGGTTGCCAAGTCGTAATAACCAAAATTAGGACCCAGCTCACTTGCCCGTCAGTCTGGTGGAAGACACAAACTGTTTAGTCTCGAGGGGCTGTTAAGGAAACAGAACTGAAAGGCGGATGTCGGATGCGGCCCCTTTCTGGGTGGAAGACTACGTCCCTGCCCTCTGGGAGCGGCTCCGGCAGGCGGTCTGGGATGGAAGGCCAGCTACCCCCTCTCACCGTGTCATTTCAGACACATTAAGTGCTTTTCCAGGAGCTGGTGGGGTTCTGGTGAGATTGTAGCTGTTCTTGATGAGGATAATCCAATGAGCTCAGTGGCTGTCAGAAAAGACTTACCAAACCTAGACAATGAAACAGAACTAAAAATAACTATCAGGTGTTTCTTTCAGTTGCCGTCTCCTCAGCCACTGCTGAGGTCAGATCTGCAGGAGGTCAAGAGGCAGGGTCCACAGGCTGCCCAGCTCGTGCGGCCCTCCCTGCTGGGGACCCCAGGAGGAGCAAGGGCCCATCAGTCCCAGGGCTTGGGAGGTCTGTGTCCACCAGTGCAGCCTCCAGTGTGGATTTACCTCTTTTTCTTCCCAGTTGGACAGCAAATCGGTGAAACACACAGCTTTATCCCTTATTTCCGTCATTTTGAAAAGAGCATTGAAAACCGTTGACCACTGCCTGGATAAAGAGACGTGGCAAGGATCAAGCGTGTACTCGGCCGAGGTGATGGAAGAATTCGTGCGGCTCTTCAGAGAAGCTCTGAGCAAGGTAGGCATGGGAGCAGCTGTGGCCATTCCAGATGAGGTTCCAGAAAGTTCCTTACAGCTGTCATGGGCGAGCACACCAGGGGAAGAGGCAGCCCCAGGAGCACAGAGGCTAGGTGTGAAACGAAGTGCAGTGGAGGGGTTCGGGTGCTCTTGGACCTCCAGCCTCATCGGGAGCTGATTGTTCTTCCCTCCCCAGCCGCTGCACACACACTGGGCTGGGGCTAAGGTGAGGGGGTGGCTTGGGAGGCCCCTCCTGCGCCCTCTTCCCCGGGGCCTATTCTGGTAAGTCAGGAAGGGCAGTCATCGTCTGCAGACGGGGCACCTGCCAGGAAGGAGCCAAGGTCATGCTGGGTGAGGCCCCCGGCTGATCAGAGGACGGGTTTCTTTTTCCCAGTGTCTTGCTCTGGTGAATGAGTCTTCGGGGGTTTGTTGTAATCATCAGCGATTGTGTTTTCACCAAGTCCTTGCTGTAACAGTTGTGGGAATCAGCAGCACAGAGCAGAACTCACAGAGGATGTGGGCCTGTGTTCCCTCCATCCCGTCTCTTACACACACACACCCATGTGTGCTCAAATCCTCCCTTTGTTTTTGCTTTTCCTTAGTAGGTTCATTTCATTTATTTCCTTCCCTTGTTTAATGTGGTTGGTTTTTTTGTTTTCTTGTTTTCCCTTTTAGATTTTACCAGACCTCAACACCATCGTGTGGGTCTGGCAGTCCCTTCGAAAGCAGGACACAAAACAGGATGATGAGAAAGGAAAGAAGAGGGACAACCAGACTCCCACCTTCTGTGTGACTCCCGAGTGCGGTGAGGAGTGTGCGGGGCTCTGCTGTGTGCAGACAGGTGGTACGGGCAGCCAGGGACACCGCCTGCCTACAGGGGCTTTCAGGGCGTCTATTGGGAATGCACCCAAGCTTTATGCGAGCACCGTGACTCTCTAAAGACTTGAATGATGGGTGTCATGTACTCTGGCCTTTCCATGTTGGGGGTTGGGGGCTCTCATTTACTGTGCAGATAGAGCTGGGCTACACAGTCCCCCCAGTAATGGGATACATTGACTCAAACCTTGTTATTGGCCTGCCAGGCAGTGGGTCTCGTATCTTCTGTCTCTGCTGTTTAATCTTTACAGTGACTGCGAGGGTAGGTGCTGCTGAATCCCCGTTGTTCAGATGAGGATGCTCGAGCACAGAGAGAGAGAGCAGCTGTAACCTGTCCCAGGTCACAGCACCAAAATGGGGATTTAAACCCAGTCTGTTTGGACAGTCCTGACCATGTTGACTTCGTAGGGATCTGTGTGCAGCCTCTGCGTTCAGCGTGGGGTTGACTGCAATGGGTCACAGGTGGTTCACTTGCTGATGAAGGGCAAAGAACAAGTGTGTTTCCTAATTTGAGGTGTCTGATTTTGGTTCAGATGATGCAGAAACCATTCTTCTGAAAGCTGTTCTGCTCCAGGTCATATGCCTGTACCAGAAGGTGGTCCCACACGTGGTCATGCAGTACAACTTTGACTTCAGCAAGCTCCTGAAAGGTGTGTCCCCTGAGACCGCAGGCACCCCTCTGCTGTGTGCTGGCAGGGATGAAGGACGGGCAGCTAAGCCAGAGCAGAGCCCCCGGAGCTGAGGGCCGGCATGCGTGAGCCCCCAGCCTGGTTATTTGTGTTTGGACTAATACATTTTAAATAGCCAGTGTTCCTTAAGTAAACATCAGATGAACGCTTAGCAGCAGGCAGAGCAGGGAGAAGCCAGGCAGCCTGAATTGTCTGCCGGGGATGAATGACAAATCTGATCGTGTGACATTAACTCTAAAGCCTCTTTTCAAAGGAGCGGGGCTGCAGAAATTAGAGGGCCCGAGATGTAATGAGCACTGGGTATTATATAAGGCTGATGATGAATCACTGACTTCTACCTCTGAAACCAATAATACATTACATGTTAGTTGAATTTAAATAAAAAAAGTAATTAATTAAAAAAAAAAGAAATGAGAGCCGCTGAGAAGGGATGTCTCATTTGCGCAGAGGCACTTCTGACATCATTGACTCATATTTTCCTCAGTGACGCAGGCTCAAACCACATCTTGTAAAAGTAATTTAGTGCTTGTCTGGTCACGTTTCCTTGATGGAAAAATTTGTCTAATAAAATCAACTTTATAATTGGGCCCACAGAAGAAAACTTGCAGAAATATCATTCCTGGCATTTACATAAGGTGTTGGAATAATCCTAATGAAAAGTTATAATTAACTTTTTAATTGTTGGAAGGCGAAAGGTTCTCCTTGCTGTGAGAATATGAAATTTACCATTTACTATTTAGTATCGTGTCATTCCCAAGCAAAGAGAAATCCAGAATTCAGGGCAGAGGGTAGGGACCCAGGCTGGGGCTCCGGTGGCCACAGCGTGCTCACGACATCTCTGTAGTCTGGGGAGTGAGGCCGGTGCTTCCCACTGGGCTAACGTCGGTGAGGGACCACACCCAGGGTGCAGCATGAGGGTCCCGGCTTCAGGCTGTCGGGAGAGGTCGGTGGGGGCCAGCGGGCTGCTTTGGGCTGGTGGAGTTGCAGGCTTTCTGCTGAAGATTTGGATAGACCACAGGAGGGGGAGGACGCGGCAGGTGAGGTGCGTCCGGGCAGAAGAGTGGGCCCAGGACAAGGGAGGACAGAGCCCCAGATCGCCCTTCTTATTTCTGCGGATGGAGTTCCTTCTCCGGTCCCCTTCGCCAGGGACAGCAGTGGCTGCACACCTTCCTCCACTTGACTTCGTGTCTGTGTTCCTCTCTCCTGCCCACAGGCATCATCTCAGAGCAGGGCCTCCGAGACGAGGTCCCTCCCATTCTGCAGCACCACATTCTCAAGGTGGCCCTGGAGCTGCCCGCCAGCAAGTTTTTGTGGTTAAAGGCACAGGTAGGAAGCGGAGAGCTCCCGCCTTCTGTTCACTAACTCGCGGGCATGTTGGTTTTTTGGCCTGGAAATTTCTAACTGGATCAGAATCTGATGGTTACAAGGAAGACATTCACGGTTCCCCTCTCAGACGCACGCAGAGCAGAAGCCAGGGCCTCATTCGTGAACCAGGAGGCCTCAGAGTCTCTTTGCTTTGGCAAAATGGGGTGTTTTCGTGTGTTCTGACTGAAACAGTATCATTGCTGGGTATTGGGAGTTTGGGGTTTTTTTAATCTTGACGACTTTATGTCTTGTCATTTTAAAACTTTTTCGGAAATAAAATACATTCCTTTTCTTTTGTCCTCATCCTGGAAGAAGTTAAGACAGAGATGGGAATAGATACCAAGCCAGGAGAGGATTGAGGCTGGCGGAAAAGTCTGTAAAAATTGCTGACATTTTTTTGCCTTTAATAATGTCTCCTAGGACTTTCTGGAGAATATATAACATTGAATCAAAGGGAACTCAAGATTCAGCAGATACTTAACCTGTGTATTTAAGCACGGGATGCCTATCACTTCTATCCAGAGGAAAAGTGACCAGGCAAAATGAAGCATTGTCCAAGTGTGTTTCTCAGTAGCTCACATGACTGTTTTTTTAGTGACTCCGATCTTACTTAAAATCTTATGGAACTAATAGTGTGGAAATGTATGTGGGCATTTTTACCTGTTGTATTTCCAGGAAGGTGTGAGTGTGCAGGGGGCGCTGGGATCTGTGCCCTTTTTTCCAGGTCCTCTCCTGAGGTTCACCTGCATTGTAGTTGAGGATTGACACATGTGCTCCATGCATCCGCACCTTTACCGCCACTTAAAGGCGAGGCAGCCGGGGCACAGAGGGCTCAGGACACCTGTGCAGGATGCCAGCCGTAGCTGGAGGACCCAGGATTGGCCCCAGGCAGTGTTGCCCATGGCCCTGCTCTCAACCTCTGCACCCCACCATGAGGTCACTGCCACGGACCCCAGAGAGATGACCAGCCAGGGGTGTCGTTTTTCACCCCAGCTGAACAGGGCCAGTGGGAATCCTGCTGATTTATTTGGAAAGTGAACAGAGGGAGGCCTCTTAACTTTGCAAGAAACTGGTATTAAAATATTAATTTATATTCAGTGCGCCACCTTCTGCATACAAGGTGAAGTCTGCTGGGTTTCATGAACACCAGCACTTCATGTGCTCAAGGCCAAACACAGCCTTGATGGCATCGGGACCAGGGATCTGGAGCTCCATGTACTTCGCTGAGATATGCGTTTGAAGCTCAAAAGCCTTTGTGAGAGGCTAAATTATGTATAAGGGATCGATTCTGTCCGCACTGGCATTTTGCTGACATGCAACCAGGCCCAGTTATCCAACTGCTGTTCAGGGGTTTCGTTGAGCTTCTGAGGCTCCTCACGTCTAAAATCCCAGCAGTCTCACCAGGTTGTAGTTATACGAGAGCAGATAAGAGGCCTGGGAGCATGTTGGGCATGCAGTACCTGTTTGCTCAGTGTACTATGGCCTCTGTAATGTTGAGAATGTGCTGCTTTTCAAACTCCAGGAAGGCCCAGATGCAGAAATTATTGGAGGAGAGCGATCTGTATTTTACTTATTGATGAAAATGTTTGTGACCAGTAGCCATCTGCAGCTCAAGTCATCCACCAAACTCCTGGTCATAAAGGTGAGTGTTTTCTACCAGTTCCTAATTCTGAGAGGCATTTTCACTCTTTGTTATGGTAGGTGCTTAGTAAACGGTTGTTGAATTAAGGGTGTATCAGGACTTCTCTAAACTTAAAAATGGGAGGTTTTGGGGCGCCTGGGTGGCTCAGTTGTTGGGCGTCTGCCTTCGGCTCGAGTCATGATCCCGGGGTCCTGGGATCAAGCCCCGCACCAGGCTCCCCACTCAGCAGGAAGCCTGCTTCTCCCTCTCCTACTCCCCCTGCTTGTGTTCCCTCTCTTGCCCTGTCTTTCTCTGTCAAATAAATAAATAAAATCTTAAAAAAAAAAAAAAGGGAGGTTTTATGGCAGTTTTATGACCCCTAAACCCAGCTGTGTTCCCAAGAGGCAGCATGGAGTGGAAAACGTGGGCATTGAGGTCCTGTTCCTAGATCTGAGCCCTGCTTCTACTCCTTCCTGGGTGGCACTGGGCAAATTACTGAACCTCTCTGAATTTCGTTTTCCCATGGTGAACGGGAATGATGAAACGGTAGGCTTTCAGAGGAGAAGAGAGTACTTGTGATCACGTAGTAGGTCATGCCTCGTACGTTATAGGCTCAAGAAATGGATTTCTGTTTACATAGACCATCCCTCTTCGCACATGTCCAAACTCAGCCTTCTCCAGTGCTCAGCCGTCCTTACCTCCTCGGTCACCCATAGCATGGGTGTCAAAGTCCGTGGAAGGGAACAGGGAGTTGGACTGTTAGCTTCTCTGTCTTACACTTGGTACTCACTTGATGCAGCCGTAGGAAATCGAATTCGTCATTTCTGCTGTGCAGCAAATGTCTCGCGGGTGCTACAGAATTCACGTCATTGTTTTTAGGGTGCAGAGATTCTACCTTTCTTTGAAGTGCTGGTAATCTTGCTGCCCTATAACCTCACCTGAGCTGCTTGAAGAACGTGAACGTCTGGGTCTTGACCTCTACAGGTTGTCATTTCCCTATAGGCCTGCACTTGACCCCAGGCCGATTTTGTGATCGCTGACTGCACGTAGGTGGGATTGGCACCGTCGGGTCTCCCTTCGGTGCGCTCTGCTGCAGGGCTCGTGCAGTGGGGCTGCTCAGACTCTCGGTCTGTGGCGTCGGTCCATTTGGGGACATCATTTAATCCCCCTGGTTCAAGGTCCTGCCCCTTAACACATTCTGTTCTCTTAGAAATGCTGGTGCTCCTTGCCCCAGGTCTGAGGCTTGAGGGGCCGCACTGTGGTGACGTGATGTGACTGACGTGACGTGAGTGGTGTGTTGGAGAATTTCATGCAGGCTGATGGTTGGTTGCTGTGAGGGGCTGAGTCATGCACATCTACCTGGGGTCTTTGTGACAATCCAGGTATAAAAACCAGACTCCTAAGTAGCAGCTGGGTTTTTTTTTTTTTTCTTTTTATTATTTAGGAGTTGAAAGAAAGGAATAGGAAGCAGCAAGACCAGGGATCATGTGATCTTTAATAGAGTGCAGCATGATCTCTTTTCCTTGTTTCCCTCAACCATGGGAGTGTTGTTTTGAAAGAGTGGCTTTTGGAGTAGAACTGCAGATGAGACTTTGACCCCCTCCGTGCTCTTGGGTTTCTGTGTTATGCTGCTTCGGCTCTCACAGAGCGTGGTGACCCCAACCCTCCAATCTGCTTCCTGACAGATTCTTCGGGACACAGGGGTGTTCGAGCACACGTGGAAGGAGCTGGAGCTGTGGCTGGAGCACTTAGATTACACCCCAGAAGAGAAACGAGAGACTGTGATTCAGTTTTTGGAACGTGTAAGCACCTATTTCCAGTGTTAAAGGAGCATGTTAGTAAATAAGCCAATTAGCTTTTAGCTCAATTAAGGCATTTTTGGGG